AGCTGGCCAGAAGACTTCTTGCTCAGCCATTTCAAGGATGGCCTGAACTACGATCTCTACAATGCCTGCCTTCCTTGGGGAGACCTGCACCAACTGCATGATTGGTACATCCTGCCAAAGAAGCTGAAATTGACCTGGACAAGAGACACAGCAGAGGAAAACCCTGGGGAAAACCACCACCTGGGCAACACCGCGAGACTGCGAAGCAACAACCCACCGCAAACACTGGCTGTTTCAGATGCGGAAAAGAAGGATACCACGCCGCAGACTGCCGTTCACGCACCCCACTTGAGAAGCCGGACCGGAGCTCAACCGGGAAGTCTGGAAGATCACCAGCCAAGCCCCGAGAACCTGTCTTGAAAGGCACCGAAACCGTTGAGTTCCCCCCTACCGCCCAATGAGGGAAGGGAACTTCGGCCTACACTGCAAGAGCATCCAACTCTTCAGACGACAACTCCGAGGACGAACCCCTGGTAAGTGGGCCCATCGCACCCTTCACCTGGACAGTAACCATACTAGTCCCCTCCATGCCCGAAGCTATAGAAGTGAGGGCACTGACTCTGGGTGCACGCATTGCCTCATCAGCCCAACGCTAGTAGGAAACCTGGGCATTCTGGTGAGGAGGCTGAAAAAAACAATTTCTTTCAGTCAATTAGATGGGTCCATAGAAGAGGGGATGCTGGCTACCCTAGTCACGTTACAAGTCCAACTCACATTGGGGGACCACATAGAGACTATAACATTCGTGGTGACCCCAGGCATGGAATGCCCCCTAATTCTGGGCATGGCATGGCTAGCAAAATGGAACCCTAGGGTGGACTGGTGGACAGCGGAGCTCAGATTCCCAAAGGGAGAACGGAAAACCCTGTCACCCCAGAGGGGCCTGCCCAAACCCTTGGCCAAGAAAGCAGCAGTGAGAGAGGAGAAGGAATTACCCGAGATACCTGAAGAATACAGGAACCTCGCTGAAGTATTCAGTGAGGAGAGATCGGACGAATTACCGACCCACAGATTAAACCCGGAGCAAAACTCCCAAAACCCAGACTGTACTCCATGAGCCCAGTGAAGCTACAAGAGATGCAGAAGTTCATAGATAAAAACCTAGAGAGAGGTTTCATTCAACCCGCATTACCAAAAGTGGCTGTGCCAGTCCTGTTTAGAGAAAAGAAGGACAGAACTCTTCATCTGTGTGTAGACTATAGGGCCTTGAACGCCATAAGCGAAAGCAATCTATACCCCCTATCACTAACAAAGGACATGTTATCCCACCTCTCAAAAGAGAAGATCTTCACTAAACTAGATTTGCAGGAGGCGTACTACCGCATTAGAATCAAAGAAGGAGACGAGTGGAAAACTGCCTTTAATTGCCCCACGGGATGCTACCAATTCAGGGTCCTACCCTTCAGACTGCAAGGAGCACCGGCAGTTTTCATGCAGTTGATAAATGATGTACTACGGGAGCACCTGTACAAGGGGGTCCTGGTTTACCTGGATGACATCCTCATTTTCACGGAAACCAAGGAGGAACATGTGGAACTAGTTAGAGCCGTTCTAAAGAAACTGTGGGCCGCTCACGTCTGTGCCAAACTATCAAAGTGTGAATTCCACAAAGAAAAGATAGACTACCTAGGATACTGAATCTCTCCCGAGGGCATAGAAATGGACCCTGAAAAGGTTTGGGCGATGCTGGAATGGGCACCACCTTGCACAAGAAAGCAACTACAAAGCTTCCTGGGGTTCACTAATTTCTACCGCCAATTCTTCCCCTCATTTACCCAAATAGCTGTGCTACTAAATCTACTAAAAACCAAAGGGGTAGACAAACCGAAACCTTGCCAACTGCTAAAATGGACGGTGGAATGTCAAGCCGCTTTTGAGAGACTAAAAATACCTTTTTCAGCTGAACCCGTCCTGAGACATCCTGACCCAGATAAGCCTTTTGTACTGCAAGTGGATGCCAGTGATGTGGCTGTAGGGGCTGTGCTGTTGCAGGAGAACGAATGGGACATTACAACCCTGTGCATACACCTCCCGAAAACTCACTGAGACAGAGGTGAGGTGGGGGCTCCTCACCTGGCGACATTTCCTCGAAGGGAACAAGATCCCCTTCCAAGTCTGGACTGACCATAAGAACCTGGAAGCATTAAAAGCACCCAGGATGCTCACCCCTAAGCAAGCCCGGTGGTCTCAACATTTCCACTGGTTTAATTTCACAATCAAACATCTGCCGGGGGGAAGAATTTTCTAGCCGATGCCCTGTCCCGCATGCCTCAATATAACAGCACCAAACCTAGTGTAACAAAACCCCTCATGCCTGAAAAGCAACTAGCACAACTGGGCACAACTGAAATTGAAAAAGCCATTAGCTAGCCAAGCCGGGATTGAATTCAGAAAAGCTTTAGAAACTGATGAGTGGTTCCTAAGTCACAAAAACCTACGCACCATCATCGATGCATTACCCTGGGTGGGGGAAAAATTATACATACCAAAAAGCCAAAGACTCACATTTATGCAGCTATGCCATGACCCAAAATCAGCGGGCCATTTTGGTTTCGTGAAAACATTTCATCTAGTCAAAAGGCAATTTTGGTGGCCATCTCTCAAAAAGGACCTTGAAAGCTATGTAGCCAGCTGTCCAACTTGTGCAGTGGCAAAAAGACTGCAAGGAAAGTCCTCAGGGCTGTTGCAGCCAGTAGCAAGCCCCCTCAATCTCCATGGATTTTATAGTGGAGTTGCCAGAAAGCAGTGGAAATACAGTTATTTGGGTGGTGACTGACCTGTTTTCCAAGCAGGTACATTTCATACCTTGCTCAAAGATCCCAACCGCAAAAACTTTAGCAAAGCTGTTTGTCCAACATATCTACATACTACATGGGGCACCTCAGCGCTTCATATCAGATGGGGGTGCAATTCACATCAGAATTCTGGAAGGAATTCCTGTCCCTTTTGGGGACCACCCAGGGACTGTCATCTAATGATCATCCATAGACAAATGGTGGGATGGAATGTTCAAACTCAGTACTTGAACAATATGTAAGATGCTTTATTAATTACCAACAGATAAACTGGACTGCCGTTCACAGATGTTGCCTACAACAACGCTGTTCACTCCAGCACCGGCTACACCCCTTTCCAAGTAGCTACCGGACAGAGTTTCAACCCCATGCCAGAACTAACACCCAATGAACCAGCTATCCCATCCCTGAAGGAGTGGATCGCTCAGTTAAGAAATATCTGGCCCGTAGTTAGAAAAACGCTAGACGACGCTAGGCAGGCTTACAAAGCACAGGCCGACAAGAAAAGGACCAAGCCAGAGCCTTCAAAATAGGGGAAATGGTCTATTTATCAACCAAATACCTAAAATTCCTACAACCGTCAAAGAAGCTAGGGCCAAAATATGTAGGACCATTCCCCATCATTAGAATCATAAATCCAGTAACGGTGGAATTGAAGCTCCCAAAATCACTTAAGGCAAATCCACCCCATTTTCCATTGCAGCCACCTAAAGCGAGAGCAACAGTCACCTTTAAGACCAGCTGTTGCTCCACCTCCCCCTCCCATCATTGTAGAGGGAGAACAACATTTTGAAATAAAAGACATTCTAGATTCAAGGAAATATCACGGTTCGCCCAATACCTAGTAGTATGGAAACATCTCCCATTGTCTCAAAATGAGTGGGTCCACAAACGTCACATTAACGCTCCAAAGTTGTTAAATTTCACACAGAATACCCGAACAAACCCGACTAATCTATGTGCATTTATCTTTATCTCTCCACAGGTGGATCTCTCTTTTTTTAAATGGAGGCAGGATGTCCGAACCCATATCGATAGATCCCCAAATCCTTTTATTTCCCCTCCCTCATTTACTATTTCTTCCTCTTTCATCCTGACCCGAATCTCACTCTCCTCTCATCCTGGGTTCTGCCATACTCCTAGGGGGGAGGGTGTGTGTGCTTGAGGGTTATTGCCTTGACTTCCTCTATCACTACAAAGTAACACTTTGCTTTCCTGCAATATTTCTTCTGAACTTTCCCATTCCTTACTGTGAACTAGCAAAGGGAGGGAAAGAATGGAATGCAACCTCCAGCGACTGCGTTATCTCCGTGCTCCAGAGAAGGTGCGAAAAACCGCCTAAACATTGCAGAAAAAAAACAGAGACGGACTGATGTTATTTCCCTGTTCCCACGAGGGACCTAAGACCTGGGGATTGGACCATTTGAACTGACCAGATGAACTATGGGTGGGGTTTTGCTTGGGACACTTTTACCTTTCGATCTGAGCAGGAAAACCTCAGATCCTATCTATGCCTGATATCAGCTTCTCCTAATAAAAGTTCCTATTGGAAGAACCCGCTTCCATGAGTTCTGCTTTCTTGGGATGAGGTATTGAAGTGGGCCCCAACACCATGAACGTCTGTGCCCAAGGCTGCTGCTTCTAGATTTCTCTGTAGTTGTCATCAAGCCTTTGCAACCTTCCTCATAATAGTGCACAGAACAGCCAGTTCCAGGTGATGCATATCTGGACTGAAACATATATTCCAAGCAGATTATTTGTGGTGGGGTGAGGTAAGTGTGAAAAACTAAGCACACTGCTGGGAAGCTAGAGAAAGAAAGGTACTTGAAATATCAACAGGCAGGTTAGAGAGTGGAGTAAGGTATATCAGTCTTGCCTTACTTGTCCTGTAAGACTAATGTGTATTTTGTTTCAACTGAGTAAGATTCTAAAATGTGTTTTATATATATGTGTGTTCAAAAAAAATTTCTTATCATTTGGGCACTTTGTAAAATTCTAATAACTTTTGGTAGTTGATCTCCATGGCACTGCAAAATACAGTTCATATATATTTTTATTTAAAAGTTGAAATTAAATAGAAATAGTTATGATTTTCTGAAGTTTAGAGTTGTAGTTCAATATTATATGATTGGTAATCAGAAGTGTATTTCCTTAATTGAAATTAATGCATAATTTCAAATTCTTGCATTATCTTTTTCTTTTTAGAGAGATCTTTCTTGGCTTTGGATTGGGACCCTGAATTCAAGAAGAGATACTTTGATGAAAATGCTGCCGAGGTACGTGATATTTAATAAAGAGAAAAAAGTTGTTCCATTACTTAAATATTTGCCATTTTGTTTGAAAGTGGTTAATTAGAGTAATCCATTTGATCTTTCCAAATTATGTGTAGTCAGCTTATCATGGAAGAAAACTATTTTTTTATTGTAAAAATTGACTAGATACATTCAGGAAGGAAGGGCAGTATTTACTGTCAGCTGACTGCCAAATTTTTAAAAATGAAATGTTTTATCAAAGAGTTTACCAGTAGAATAGTTGCTGTTTTCAAATCAGATTCATTTTCTCTGTGCCAAGATAGACATGGAACAAAATGTAGAAGAGGTCACCTGAGGCACAAATGAAAGTCTACATGATCATTGTGGGGTTTAACATAAAAGAATTCATCTGCATGTTTGCTGTCATAATAAACTCCCTTTCTGAAGAAATGGTATAAAATGAATTGAATTATCCTCCTTTCATCCCATTTCATAACTTGTCCAAATTTCCCTCCACAAAATTAGATGAAACTGGAACATGGCAAAATAACACTTGCACTCATGGACAATGTCTTTTTTTCAAAGACTTCCACATAGATTAAAACTAGCAGAGTTGTATTTCCAATTTGGCATATTTTCCCATATTAGTAAACATATAGCCCTTTTTTTACAGAAAGACAAAAATCACTAAAATGAATTTTGTTTCATTTGTTCTTTTAACTCAAGAAATACTTCTCTTTAGGATTTTGAAAAACATGAAAGTGTGGAATATAGACCTCCAAAAAAACCATTTGTAAAATTAAAAGATTGCATTGAGTTATTTACAACTAAGGAAAAGTTGGGTGCTGAAGATCCATGGTAAGAGCAAAATACTACTTCTATACTGAAATGATTTCTCACATTATGGAATTTATTTTTCACTTTTCTGTGAGATTTCTGATAGTTTACTAATAGTTTCTAAGCTTAATATACATTGTAGAATAGAGTGTGTGGTGTTTTGTTTCAAAGGGCAGATATGATGTGGATATCTTTACAGTACATGTCAACAGCTTCCTAAAGAATCACCTTTTTTCTAAACTGCAAGAGCTATAGTTATTTAACCAGACCTATATTTACTAAAAAGTAATTATTACATGTACATAACTCACTTTCTTTTTCTTATTTTTTAATGTGTAGAAAAAATACTAGCAAAATCCTAGATTTATAATTCTACCAAACTAGAAATTAACATATTGGCAGTAATAAACTAGGTCAAAGAGAGGACTATTTATTGCAGAAACTTGTAGAAAGGGGGTTGCAAAACATTTCAACATATACTTATCCTATAAATTCCATGCCGATATAATTGTACACTAATATAAGAAATTTTATCTGTAAACTTCAGTAGCTCCAAATACTAGTCTGTAATTTATGGGAGTAAATGACAGATATTTATTCACATGTGTGTATGCATATAGCTGTCTCTTGTTATGGGATCTCCAAATGGGTTATCTGGTCCTCTCACAATGACAGTAATAAAAGCATTTGTGTATGAGGCTGGGCTACCACTGTTTTTCTCACAATAAATTCAAAACAATATGTGTATAAAATATGTATAAAATCTAATTATAATTATAAATACAAGTAACCATGTTATATAAATACAAATAACCATGTTATAGGTGATAGTATATCAATTTGGAATAGGAATGCTCTAATTATTGCACAATTGCCCTTATCCCTCATGCTAGTAAGATTCCCCTGAAGCTAATACAATAATATCTGGCGCCACCATCGAAACAGAATTAACATGTTCAGGTTGGCTTCAGAAGGAGTTGTGGCACTTACAAATATTGCAAATCTATGCTGGATAATGGGAAAGAAAATCTCAATATTTAAAGAACATCTACATCTGCTTTATTGACTACAAAAAAGCCTTTAATGGTATCAGTAATTAAAGTTGTGAAGAGCCCTGGAAGATTTGGGGATATCAATACACATGCTGAAATTGGTGTGGACGATGTACACAAATCAGAAAGCCACTGTGCAAACACCATATGGAGACCTTGATTGGTTCAAGATACAGAAAGGAGGGTGGCAAGGTTGCATTCTTTCACCTTTCTTATTCAACCTGTATGCTGCAATGTTCATAAGGAAGCAGGAACTTGAAGAATAAAAAATCAGAGGAAAGATTGGAGGAAAAAACATCAAACTTTTGAAATGCTGATGACATATCTGAAATATCTGATCAAAAAAGATTAAAGAAGAAAGTGGTAAAAATTGTCTACTTCCTGACTATCAGAAAGATCAAGCTCATAACCACTCTGCTGAATTGAAATGTCAAATTAACAATTGATGTTAAAAAGATCAAATGCAACTTCTTCACTTACCTATCTATCCTCATCTATGTCCTTCCTTCCATTGCCAGGTCAGGTTTGCCCTGCCCCCGGTAGGATTCCAGTCATCAGGGCTGATGCAGGTGGGGACTGGCAAAAGCTGGTGCAAGCCACAATGTCTATTAAAGAAGTTGCTGGCAGGAGTATTTCAATTACCATAACCATGCATGGGGAAAGAGTCAGATTGGAGTGGTTTTAATGGCTGCCACATACCCGAGGCCTACCTGCTTCCTGCCTTCTCCTTCCTGCCCTGGAGTAAATCTGGGCTGGGGCAGGTGGGGCTTCCCTGGCATTTTGCCCTTCGTTGGGGGGAGGGGGAGCTGCTTCACACCATGCTCTTGGAGCTTCTTGGGCATTTGGCACTTCCCAGGGCACAGTGCCTTTTTGCTGCATTGCTGGGTCAGCCTGGGGCTAATCTGGAAATGACCGGCTTTTCCCCCCTGCCTTCCTGCACTCAAATAAAACTGCAGCACTCCCACAACTTGCACACAGTTTGTGCCAGGTCTCCCTCATACTCCTGAGGCACCCCCACACTGGGGCTTTATTTGCTTAACAACCCATGAGATTGCTTAACAGCTGTAATCAGGAATCCTGGGATTGTGGTCATTGACTGAACTGGTCATGTGGTGTCTTGCTTAATGACCACTCCACTCAACATTTGAGATTCTGGTCCAAATTGTGAACATAAGTTGAGGACTATCTGAAGTTCACATTATTCTTTTCCCACAGCTAGCTGCAGTTGCTAGAATAAGACAATAAAAAAACTAGACAGGAGGGAAATTGACTCATTTGAGCTATGGCGTTGGAGAAGACTCCTGTACATTCGTTGGACAGCAAAGGTGACAAGCAAGTTCTGAAACATATAATACCAGACATATTGTATCGCTGGAAAGCAAAATCGCAAAACGTTGTGAGATAAATACAACCTAAGATCTGGCACTTCTGGCTAGCATTCATCACCTGTATCTCGGGCAATTCCTTTATTTCTCCTCACATAAGCAACCCGGCCTCTGGCCTCCTTACTCCCGCTAGCCACCCCACTCTCATTCTGGGTTGCAGGTGGAAAGCACCTCACGTTAAGCTAGGCAGACAGATCCCTCCCTCCTTCATCTCTTGCCCAAAAGAAGTAGTCAAGCCCCCTGTGTCTCCCTTTTTTGTGGATACACTTTAAGACTAGAAGGGGAAAAAAGGATATATATTTGAACAATAGTAGTTTGTTTACTATTTGCATAATAGGACTGACAGTATGTCTCCACAAGTTTCAAGGAAAACAGATAAATTATATCTCTCTAAGGTTTTAATTTGTAACAAGAATTTAATAAATTAAGCATAGTATGAAAAGTTTATCTTCATATTTTTCTTGCCATATACTTCACTTAATTGTAAAATAAGTCTTTAACAAGATTTTTTGGTCTCTCTAGGTATTGCCCAAACTGTAAAGAACACCAGCAAGCTACCAAGAAACTAGATTTGTGGTCGCTACCACCAGTACTGGTGGTGCATCTAAAACGTTTTTCTTATAGCAGATACATGAGAGATAAATTGGATACATTGGTTGACTTCCCAATAAAGTGAGAACCATATCAAAAATGGATAGCTTTTGTGTTTATTGTTGATATCCTTGGTATACTTTTACAAACATTTATTCTACATGTTTGCAAGAATATTTATAATATTATATAATGAATCAGTGATAAGATTTCAGGCTGAATGGCCATGGCCTTGATTTCTTTTGTCTTGACCATGGCCATTTAGCCCAAAAGCTCATCACTGCTTCATTGATGCCAGCTGTGAAAGCCTAGACCAGTATAATATATTCTATAATATTTATTATTTTGATGAATATACATACTTATGTAACTAAATTATGGAAGTGTATTTGTTACATCTGGAACAATACTTTAGGTTATAGTTGCCTGAAAATGAACCCATGTATCTAATGAAAAAAAAATTCTAAAATAAGAGGAAGAAGATAAGGCATAGGCCATTGGGTACAGATTTGTTATATTGATATGTCAGAGAATATTTTCTGAAACATAAGTCACATACAAGTTCATTTATTATATAGACAAAATTAGTCCACTTTAATTTGAATAATATTGTGTTGCCTTTTTCAGCCAAAAAACTGCTTGCTCTCCAGTGTTTTAACTAAATGTGATATATTTCCTTACATTTAGTAATCACTCCATGTAATTCCATATGTAGACAAAAATTGATCCTACATACAACTGTATAGAATTATTCATTTATTTTCAATTATATGTCAGCTTTATGGGGTAGATCAAACTAAGAAACCTTTCTTTCTTACCTGAAAGAAAAACGCTTCTGAACATAATCTGAACATGCTTATGAATTAAGCTTATTTGATTGAAGCAGCATACTAATAGCTGACAGAATGAGTGAATGAATGAATACATTTAGAAGCCAAATAAAAAAGGATCACTTTATTTAGTACATTTATATTCTGTTTCCTTCAAGAAGTACAAAACAAATGTATATGTTCTTTCCTCATACAGGATATGAGATTGGTTGTCACTAACATTAAAGTTAAACATTTTAACTTCACCTTTTACAAGTGTGACACACTAAACTATTTAGAAATCATATCTGTTGATAAATTATTGTAGTTTTTTTAAAAAAAATCTTCACCCTCCTATATTTTTAGTGTGATTCATTTATTGCTTTGCTTTAGAAACTAAAGCAGTGGCTTCATTGACTTTATTGAAGGAAATTATAACTACTAATATACAGTTTTTGAAAACTAATCCAGTTTGATCTTTTCTTCAAAATAGTGATTTGGATATGTCTGAATTCCTAATTAATCCAAATGCTGGACCTTGTCGCTATAATTTGATTGCAGTGTCAAATCATTATGGAGGCATGGGAGGAGGGCATTGTAAGTAATGTATTTTATATGTATGACTTTATCTTTATTATGGCTCAGTTACCAGCATTTTCAGTAAAGTGATTTTTCTTATTCTAGATACTGCTTTTGCAAAAAATAAAGATGATGGGAAATGGTACTACTTTGATGATAGCAGTGTGTCGACTGCATCAGAAGAACAAATTGTGGCAAGTATCGGTTTCCAAAACCAAGATAGCACTATTGCACAGGAACAAGATCCAAGACTGACTTGCTTATATAATCAGTTAAAAGTAATATTTACCATGCTATAAAACATATTATGATAATATAAAACTTTATGCATGTATTGTGGTTCATGCAGCCAATCTGGAAATCCAAATCCAAAGCACCATTAATAAATGCTGTAAATGAATCTTGACAATTTCAGCCAGAAAACCAGAATAATCTGGTTAATATTTAAGAAAGCAATGCAGCATAAAGATTCCATTTTTAGATTTCATTCTTTATCAAATGTTAGCAATAAATTTCTCTTTCATGGATTACTGCCTTGTTGTGGTGAGGGGGCTTGCATAACTCAATGAACTATGAGCTATGCCATGCAGGGCCACCCAAGACAGACAGGTCATAGCAGAGAGTTCTGACAAAATGTGATCCACTGGAGAAGGAAATGGCAACCCACTCCAGTATCTTTGCCATGAAAACCCCATGGACAGTACCAAAAGGCAAAAAGATATGACGCTGGAAGATGAGCCCCTCAGGTTGGAAGGTGTCCAATATGCTACTGGGGAAGAGCAGAGGGCTAGTACTAGTAGCACCAGAAAGAGTGAAGCAACTGGTCCAAAGCCAAAAGGACACTCAGCTGTGGATGCATCTGGTGGTGAAAGGAAAGTCTGATGCTGTAAAGATCTTTTCTCCATAGGAACCTAGAATGTAAGATCCATGAATCAAGGCAAACTGGACGTGGTCAAACAAGAGATGACAAGACTGAACATCGACATCTTAGGAATCAGCGAACTAAAATGGACAGGAATGGGTGAATTTAATTCAGAGGACCATCAGGTATACTACTGCAGGCAAGAATTCCTCAGAAGAAATGGAGTAGCCTTCATAATCAATAAAAGAGTAAGAAAAGCAATACTGGGATACAATCCCCAAAATGACAGAAGGATCTCAGTGCAAATCCAAAGCAAACCATTCAATATCACAGTAATCCAAGTCTATGCCCCAACCACTGGTGCTGAAGAGGGTGAAATTGACCGGTTCTATGAAGCCCTACAGCACCTTATAGAATCAACACCAAAAAACGATGTCCTTATCATCACGGGGGATTGGAATGCTAAAGTTGGAAACCAAAAGATAACCGGAATAACAGGCAAGTTTGACCTTGGTGTACAAAATGAAGCAGAGCACAGTCTGATAGAATTTTGTCAAGAGAATACGATGGCCATAGCAAACACTCTCTTCCAACAACCCAAGAGACGACTCTACACCTGGACATCACCAGACGGTCAACACAGAAATCAGATTGACCATGTGCTCTGCAGCCAAAGATGGAGAAGCTCTATACAGTCAGTAAAAACAAGACCAGGAGCTGACTGTGGCTCAGATCATGAGCTTCTCGTTGCAAAATTTAGGCTTAAATTGAAGAAAGTAGGGAAAAACACTAGGCCACTCAGGTATGAACTAAATCATATCCCTGATGAATATACAGTAGAGGTGACNAAATGAACAGTGCAAAGAAATAGAAGAAAACAATAGAATAGGGAGAACCAGAGATCTCTTCAAGAAAATTGGAGATATGAAGGGAACGTTTCATGCAAAGATGGGCATGATAAAGGACCAAAATGGCAGGGACCTAACAGAGGCAGAAGAGATTAAGAAGAGGTGGCAAAATTACACAGAAGAACTATACAAGAACGAGATTAGATCCCTGATAACCACGATGGGATGGTCATTGACCTCGAGCCAGACATCCTAGAATGTGAAGTGAAATGGGCCTTAGGAAAGCTGAGCAACAACAAAGCTAGTGGAGGTGACAGTATTCCAGCTGAGCTATTCAAAATCTTAAAAGACGATGCAGTAAAAGTGCTACACTCAATTTGCCAGCAAATTTGGAAAACTCAACAGTGGCCATAGGATTGGAAAAGGTCAGTTTACATTCCAATTCCAAAGAAAGGCAATGCCAAAGAATGTTCAAACTATCGCACCATTGCACTCATTTCACATGCAAGTAAAGTTATGCTTAAAATCGTATAAGCTAGACTCCAGCAGTATGTGGATCGAGAACTTTCAGAAGTACAGGCAGGATTTTGAAGAGGCAGAGGAACTAGAGATCAAATTGCCAACATACGCTGGATCAGGGAGAAAGCTAGGGAGTTCCAGAAAAACATCTACTTGCTTCATTGACCATGCTAAATCCTTTGATTGTGTGGATTACAACAAATTGTGGCAAGTTCTTAAAGAGATGGGAGTACCAGACCATCTTATTTGTCTCTTGAGAAATGTATATGCGGGTCAAGAAGCAACAGTGAGAACTGGACACGGAACCACTGATTGGTTCAAAATTGGGAAAGGAGTCTGGCAAGGCTGTATTCTGTCACCCTGCCTATTTAACTTATATGCAGAGCACATCTTGAGAAAGGCAAGGCTAGATGAATCAAAAGTTGGAATTAAGATTGCCAGGAGAAATATCAACAACCTAAGATATGCAGATGATACCACTCTAATGGCAGAAAGTGAAGAGGAACTAAAGAGCCTCTTGATGCGGGTGAAGAAGGAGAGTGCAAAAGTTGGCTTGAAACTCAACATTAAGAAAACCAAGATCATGGCATCCGGCCCTCTCAATTCCTGGCAAATAGATGGAGAAGAAATGGAGATAGTGACAGATTTTATCTTCCTGGGCTCCAAGATCACCACAGATGGGGACTGCAGCCAAGAAATTAAAAGACGTTTGCTCCTGGAGAGGAAAGCTATGGGAAATCTAGACAGCATACTAAAAAGCAGAGAGATCACCCTGCCAACAAAAGTATGTATAGTCAAGGCCATGGTTTTCCCAGTTGCAATGTATGGCTGTGAAAGTTGGACCATAAGAAAGCCTGAGCGCAAAAGAATTGAGGCCTTTGAACTATGGTGCTGGAGAAGAGTCCTGCAAGGAGCAAGGAGGTTTATGACTCTCACTTCCTTCATTTAAACTACAAAGGACTGAATGTGATTCGTATCAAGAGGACTGACCATAACAATATGGCCACAGCCTTTCATCTACTATCTCTCTGAAGTCTCCCTTCTGCCAGCAGCGAGGAAAAAGGGGGTGGAAATGTAACGCCTGGGATCATCGCTGGAAGGACGGTGGGGTGGGAGCTGCTGGGAACCACTTAAAACATTGAATGGTAGAGGTTGGCCTCTCAGATCCTGTCTAGGACGCCTGCAACCATCTTCTCTTAATAAAGATGCCCGTAGGAAGAGATATTCCAAGAGTTCTGTCTTCTTAAGATGTAAAGTGGGGTGGGTCCTTACAGCATGCATGTCAAAGGTGATACACCGCAATGTTTTGGGTGACCAGTATTCACCAACACCCAACCACTAGTCTTGATAGCATGCCCTATTCTTGTGTAATTTTTGGAGGCTGTGAAAGCCTCATGAAAATGGAGTGTGCTGTCATGCATCTCTGGACACTCTGGAATTTCATGAGGGGGATGTTCTTGCACTGCTTCCAGGGCCTGTGTTTTCTTTTAATGAATATGTAAAGAATTGTTTGTCTTTTGGGGGAGTGGGTGCAGTGACACATCAGAAGAGTCAAGTTAGGCATTTTCCAAATTTTTGACACACCAAGCCAAAAAGGCTTGCCATCACTGTCCTAGAGAGTTGAGAAGAATCAATTTTTGTTACTGATGGGAAGGATCAGTAGCACTGCATGTAACATGTCCCAAAATGTTCAGCCTTTTAAATGCTTCTCTGCTAGCTCCACCATAGGTAGATTTTTAAAAACAAATATGCAAAAATCATCCTTTTCTAGGACTTAATGTTCTCCAAGTCTTATTTTAAAATGTTATTGGCAGAAGTAGGAAAAAAGAGTTGCTTTTCAGTTGCTTTTAGCTTATGCCCAAACAAGATTTTTTAGTCTTTTTTTCAATGAGCAATATATAGTGCTAATGTATTTAAGGTTATTGTTGAAAAGGCTCTCATCTAGTTCCACCACCCCAAGTTAGTTTAATAACTTCATCTCCCTGCTCTAGTTAGTTCTATGTGATCAAATTTAATTAATTGGGTAGCATATTTATTCAAAATAAAATAACAATTGAATGTCAGATAAGACAAGACAGCATTGTTTTGTATAGATAAAATTCTTTGCCATCATATAAAAATTCACAATATACTCTATACATAGAAATATGTATAACCTTTATAAGGACCGCTATTTGTTTTAACAGAAAATGTTAAGCGTGGGTAATTGAACAAACTATTAAATCTCATCTTAATCCCGTCTTCCTGATATATTTCCCCATAATTTTTTTTATTCATCTCTCTCATGGTCAGTTTTTATTTATGCCTTGTGATGGGCTACTTCTGCATGTATTATCCTTATGCAAACATCTGACCATTACTAAAGCCCTAGGAATTAAATGCAGTATCAGTATAACTATTTGTCAAAGGCAGTGCCTAGTTATTTATGTGTGAAAATAATAGAATGAATTGTGTTGTCCTTAATCTGAATATATTTTACTAGAATAAAATTGAAACTTGAAGAATTAAAATGGAGAGTTTAACTTTGGTAATTAACATTTTTCCCTTTGTTTTGCAGTCCAAAGCAGCCTATGTGCTCTTCTATCAAAGACAGGACACAATCAGTGGAACTGGTTTTTTCCCTCTTGATCGGGAAACTAAAGGTGCTTCTGCTGCTACAGGCATTCCATTAGAGAGTGATGAAGACAGTAATGAGAATGACAATGATATAGAGAATGAAAATTGTATGCACACTAATTAATCGAAGAACTAGAAGCCATACAGAGAAGAACTTCCTGATGGGAGCTCTCGATTAAAAAAATGAAATTATCCACCAAATTAAAAATAAAATCTGAGATGGGAAATTTCAGATGACAGAATGTAAATCCTTGTTATATTTTAACTTGTGCATTACCTGAAGTGAAACACAATGAAAACATTAGAATGTGTCTCTAATATCTTTGCAAACTTGTATTCACAAGCTATATAGGAAATAAAAATAAACCCCTTTGCAATTTCTGCTGCAATCTGGATGAATTACAGTTTCTTTGTTTTGGATACAAAATAATATTGACAATTTGTGGATTTGTTTTTTTGTCTCAATACCCCAGGAATATTACTGCAGAACCTCTGTTTTTCAATGGATGTGTCCTTAGACCAGTAACAAAAAATTGACTAGTATATTCAACACAATGCAGCAGCATTCTTGGAATGTCAGATTTTCAAGTATCTCCCTCAAATGTTGATTGAAAAGAAACTTAATCATGATAAAATGACTTGGAAAAGGTGTTTTAACCTTTTGTAATAAAAGTAATCTTCCAGAATATTATGTTCATCTTACTGCTGCTGTGGAACAGGTTCTGGATTTCATGCTGCATTAAGGAATTGAATTTTTCAATTAAATGTACTGTAAGTATCCCTCATTGCTTGTTGGATCTACTTTGTAAACATAATTCCTGTTATCTTGTTTATAAGATGTGCGTAACTTTAATCTGGTGTCAGTCCAAAAATTTTAACTGTGCTGTAAGTCCTTCCTCCCCATTTTTAGTAGTTTGACAGTTTACAAACTACATACAGTGTAATAGATTCCAATTTTTAATAGTATACTGTATTCATAGTAATGACTGTGCATCAAGCTTAGATGACTTTTCCATATAACTTGCCTTCAAATTTGTTAATGGGCAACTGGTTCAAAGGTAGGTCTGCTAATTTTTCATGTGCATTGGTGAATCACCATAGCCTTACATCTTATCTCAAAAGGTAACTTTACTTAATATAGAAGAATTGGCATTTGCATGTTCAAGAGTCAGAACCTGTACAGTAAGTAGATAAAGTATACATACCTTGAATTGGGTTTTAATCGTGTTGAAAGAGTATGGGATGCCAAAAATAAGTGTGACCATTCGAAACTTTTTTGTTTGCCATTTTCCCTTTGATAGTTGAAGAAAAGTATTGTTGAACCATATACAATACTGTCTTTGACAGAAACTCTCTACCTGTGGAGGCACACTTCACATATCTACTACCTAAGATCCCACCACTGTTAAAGCAAAAAGTATGATCTTCACTTGAACTAAGCAAATACAATAGGTTATAAATTGTGTATTGTAAATAAAGTTCACTCTGTGAGTGCACATTTTGGTAAATTATTTATTTATGTTAGCATTTAAAAATTTAAAATTGCATTTGACCAGAATAAAATTTGGTTTGTGGACATGGCTTCGCTTTATACTTTGATATTAAAAGCTGGTGTTTAATCCTGATATTTTAAAGCTGCTTTTTTTTCAATGTAAGCTAGCCTCCTGCATGACAGAGGTTGAAAATTGTCTGCACTTGAGTTCACTTGGGTTTACATTTGAAATGCGCATGTTTTATTTATAAAAATTTCAATAAAGCTATTCAATGCCTTATTTAGTCTTCTTGATTTTTTTCAAATCTTTGATAATTGATGTGTGGTTGTAGAAACAACATATTTCATTTAATAGTGAATATGCGATCATTGAATCAAATACAAATATTGGCCAAAACCAAATTTTCAGCTATCTTGGAGATCTGAAAATGAATATTCTGAAAAAAAATGTGTCTTTTTTTGAACTGTACAATGGCATGAATGAGTAAAACCTGGGACAATTCTACACATACTTACACAGAACTAAATTCTTCTGAACTGATTAAGATACTATCAGCAATATGTATAGGACTGACTACATTTAAATTGTCCGCAGGTCAGAAATGTCTCACCACTATTTTATTTGGCATCTTTTACAGAATACATTGGTTTATAAAATTGGATTGGCAATTATACAATTCACACTTGTATTTTTCAAGCAGCAGATTTAGAAAATTATACACAACACATGTTCATGTGTGATAACTAGGTCAGGGGTAGGCAACTCAAAACCTGGACACTTGGATCCGTTTCCCACCGAAAACAAAACACTGGGAGCCACAAAACCCGTTTGATATCTAAAATGAAGATAACACTACATATATCCTTTTTACCTTTATTATAGGTATTTGTGTGTGTATGTATGTGTATATGTGTGTGTGTGTGTATGTATGTATGTATGTATATATATATACATACATACATACATAGACAAGTTATAAAGCTAAAAATTCAACTCTTGGGTAAATCCATGATAAAACCAATAAATATCGATCACCAAGAGGAAAGTAATAAATAGTAAAAAATTTAATGAGCCGAGCTTTCGTTGGGCCCACCCAACATCATCAGGGCTTTAAAAGTAGTCACTGGGAAAGAGCTTTTATACGATGTTAACAGCCTGCATTTTTCGTGTTGTATCCTAGATGCATTATCTACATCAACGCATGATGTAGAACAGCTGGGTCTGGTGACGCGTTCCAGAAGCCGGATGCAGGCTATTAACATCGTATAAAAGCTCTTTCCCAGTGACTACTTTTAAAGCCCTGATGATGTTGGGTGGGCCCAATGAAAGCTCGGCTCATTAAATTTTTTACTATTTATTACTTTCCTCTTGGTGATCGATATTTATTGGTTTTATCATATATATATATACATGCTTCTAATAACATTAAAACTAAAACAGTGACTCCTGGGTGTAATCATTTTCCCAAAAACAAACCGTGAACACCAGGAGTATATCAAACTATCAAAAAGTTTAATAACACAAAGCATAAAACAAAACTACACCAAGCTTTCGTCGGACTCCTTCCGACATCGTCAGGGTTACGTGCCAGTCCATGAGAGAGTCTCTTCTATAAGCCATCCATCATCTGCGCCCGGCTCCTGGACCTCGTCACCGGTCCCAGGCGATTGGGCTGTGCCTTAATTACAGTCTTCACACCGGTAGTTAATTTTCTCCTGCCTCCCTTGCCTGCGTGCGTGATGTTACTAATTGCTTCTGTCTGTGGCCTTGGGTCCGGTGCATCCTGCCCCCCCTTTTTTTGTTTATACCTACTCCCTATGTCCTCCAATTCCTCTCCCTTTCCACCATCTTTTCTACGTTGTATTGCCAATTCCACTGTCCCCTGCTCCCTATCCCCCTCCTTTTGTCCATCATCCTCACTACCAGTCCGGTTGCTACCCTTCATTCCCTGGGGCCCTTTTGCTGTCCTCCTCATCCGTTCCTTAANTTCCCTCCTCCTCCCTTCCCCCTCCACTCGGCTCTCATTCCCCCCGTTGTTAATCTGTCTTTCCTCTATTCCTTCCCTCCCCCCATCTCTATCGCCTGTCACATTGGCCTTACTATCCCCCCCACCTTCCCCCACACATTCTCTATCTTCTTCCTCTCCTCTCTGCCCCTCTTTTACCCACTTTCTCTGGTCATACAAACCCTCCGTGTCATCCAGTTCCTCCCCCTCCACACGCCCCTTTTCTCGCTGTGTTGCTGGTTCCACTGCCTCCTGCTCTCTATCCCCCTCCTCTTGCTCCGCCTCCTCGCTTCCGATCCAGTTGCTGTCCTTCATTCTCTTCGTTCTCTGGGGTCTCTTTACCACTCTTCTCGCCCACCCTTTTACTTCCATCTTCCTCTCTTCCACCTCCTTTCGATTCTCATTCCTCACATTATTACTCCGTCCTTCCTTCCTTCGTTCCCTTCCCCCATCTCTGTTGTCTGTCATCCCGCTCCTACTGCCCCCCCCCACTCTCGCCCACGGCATATCCCCTATCCTCTTTCCTCTCCGTCCCTCCTTTGCCCTCTTGTTCTGCTCGTACGACTCCTCCGTGTCCTTTGCTTCCTCCCCCTTCCCATTCTCCTTTTCTCGCAGTGCCGCCGGCCCCACCGTCCTCCGCTCCTTATCCCTCTCCTCTTGCTCGTCCTCCTTGCCTCCGATCTGGTTGTTATTCTTCATTCCCTTCATTCTCTGGGGCCTCGTTGCCACTCTTCCCACCCCTCCCTTTTCTTCCGTCTTCCTTCCTCCTCCTCTCGTTTCCTATTACCCACACAGTCACTCCGTCTTTCCTCCCTTCTTTCCCTCCCCTCCTCTCTGTTGTCCGTCCTACCGCTCCTGCTAACCCCCCCATCCTCCACCATGGCATACTCCCTATCCTCTTCCTCCCCTCTCTGCCCCTCCTTTGTACGCCAATTGCCATCCCTTACTCCATGGGGCTGTCTCCCCTCTCTCTTCTGCCCTCGCCTAACTTCCGTCCTCCCTTCTTCTACTTTCATGGTCTCTTCACTCCTGTCGGCCCCGTCGTGCACCTCTTCCACTCTTTTCTTTCCCCCGTCCCCAGTACTCCTAGCTCCCACTCGGGTCCAGGCACTCTCATCATCCTCATCCTTCTTTCCGCTGATCTTTCTTCTACTCCCGGGCTGGATCTGTAGGGAGAGAAAACAGTTGCCCTCGTGGGGCATGTGAATGATTTGCCTGTCCTCGCTCCCCCTTTTTTAGGAAGCTGTGTAATCGTCTCTGTTAAAGGAGCCAGCCTCTTGGATTGTATAGTTTCTTTGGTGTAGGGTTGCTGTGTGTGTGTGTTCCGTTGGGTACGGTCGTTTGGAATGTTTGTGTGTGGTTGTTTGTCATGCTTATTAGTTGTGGGTGGTTTTGTGGTGTTTGGGAATTGGGCTGTAATGTTTTGTTCCTTTGAATGTGATAAGTCATATTTCATTGCAGGGGGAGTTTTGGTCTTGGTCTTAATATTCTGTTGTTACTTAGGTGTTGTGTGTGTATGTTTTGTTGTGTGTGAGTGTTTTGTGAGGTTGCAGGATTTGTGTTTTGGATGATCCCGGATCTCCCTTCCTTCCGCCGCGCCCTTAAGACATGGTTATTTCAGCTAGCAGGACTGGCCTAAGGGGTAATTTTTAGCTGGGTTTTAAAATAATTTTTAAAATAACAAAGGCCAAATTAATATTTCCTTTTAATTATGTTTTTAATGATAGTATTTTTTGTATTTTTGTATTTGTTTTTATTAGGCTG